GTTCATTTGTAAAGTCTTGTTATGCCTTTAAATAACAATAACAAGCAATATTAACTTTGTGCCAGGACTCCATCCGGTGGGAGACAAAGTTACATGGGGGTCCGGTGCTGCGCCTGCGCGCTCCGCCAGCCTCTCCGGGCCGAGGCGGCGCCGACCCGCGTGCTGCGAAGCGCTTCCTTTGTCTCCGCCCCGGCGGGGCCTCGCCTCCCCAGGAACCGACCAGAAGGGCCCCCCGCTGGGTGGTCGCTAGGAGCGCCTGACCACCGCCTTTCCCCGCCCTACCCTAGAGCTGAGGCCCCTGAATTCCTAGGGGGCCCCCTCCAGGCGCCGTGGTCTGCGGATCAGGCCGTTTACCTGGTTAGGGAGAGAAGCACTCAGGCCGGTCTCTGGTCTGAGAAATGGGCGCAAACACTTGTTCTCCCTGCAAACGCCAGGAGCGAATTCAGTTTGCCTCGAGACCCCGAGCCCCGCGCGGCTGGCCTGGGGGTTCAGCCTCCACGTGGCCAGGGCTCTGCTCCCGCCCCTTAAGCTGGAGGAGGAAGAACAGGAACGCAGCTCTGGGTGCCCCCCTCCCCACCACCACCACCGGGCAGAGTCTGAGGAGAGGCTGAGCGGGAGGGCGCCATAGCCCGCGGCTCCCCACCTCGCGGTCAGGGAGGCTGCGAGCCGGGCGAAGACTGTAGTGTCCGCTCCAGGGCAGGCCGAGGCTCCCGGCCAACCTCTGCCTCTCCCTGTCACGCTGGCCCTTCTCTGGCCGCTTGGCCTCCTCCCTCGTAACCCAAGGCCAGAGACGCGCCCCCCTCCTTCCCTCACCTTCTTCCCATAAAGCTTTTAGCAGAGGGGGTGGGGGGCCTGAAGCTTCAAGTTCAATGGCAATGCCCCTGACCCTCCCCTCCCCTCTGGGCGCCGGCTAGACGCCGCCTTCCCCTTCCCGTCCTTCTGGGGACGATTGAACTCCTGTTGCCCCCTTTCCCTCTTTCATGGTGGTGGGGGGCAGCGGTGGAACTCGTTTTTTCTCCCTTTGCTCCAACCACCCCACCCTCTTCCTACGCAGAAACAACTAGCAGCTGAGAGGAAGAAAGGTGGGCACCCCCTTTGGATGTTTTAAAATCTCCAGGCCCTGGCGGGGGCGGGGAAGGGGGGCGTCCCACGGGATGAGAGGCTGAGGCCGCTCTGGGGCCTTCTCCCCGCTTTCCCAGAGAGTGGGTGGGTGCGAATATGGTATGCATTTCTTTCAAAACAAGGGAACCTCCTTTCGCCCCCTCCGCAGGAGTCGCCTCCGCGCTTTATTTCAACTTGACGGTAACGATTCATCCATTTCATTCAGGATTGTAGCTCTTGGGGCGAAAGCACAAGGAGCCCCCCTCCTCCTCCCACTCAAGAAAACCTAATTAAAGGGCAGCACTTAGGACCTTGAATAAAACTTTAACGAAGGAGAGGAGAGGAGGCAGTAGGGGCCAGGCAGAGAACTGGGGGCTCGTTCGATCGGGGCCCTTTTCCTCCCGCGGGTACAGCTTCTGGGCCTGGAACGGTTCAGAGTCTGGGTGACCAGTGGGGTTGGGGTGGTGGTGGGGCGGGGGGGGGGGGCGGCGGTGCAGATAGAACACGGCCTCCTCGGCCTCGCGAGCTCCAGGGCGGCCAGGCCCGGCGCGTTTGCCAGGATGAGCCCAGGATCCCGGGCCTGGCGCCTCGGGGCGCTCTCCGCGGGGCCGTGCGGGCACCGAGATTCCAAAAACAAACGCTTCCCGGGGGGCGCGTCTGTGCACCGCGTCACTCTTGCCCCCTAACTCGGCCCCTGGGCGCCTAATGAAATCCACCTGGTCTGCAGGTCGAAGTGCTCGCGCTCCCGGAGGCACGACTCGGAGGGAGGGGGAGCGCGGGCCGAGGAAAATTACCGCTTGTCGGTGAAAAGACGCGGGTGGGCTTTCCGGAGAGTGTCTGTGCATCTGTGCGTGTCTGTGTCTTTGAGATTGTCTGAATCTACCTATTTCTCGACGCTGGGTTTACAGGCTCTAGTCTGCATAATGTTAGCAAAACCCTCTCTCTTACAGCTTAAAAGGGTCCCAATTAAAAAGCAAAGCTGCAGGCAAGTAAATATGGGTGGGTGAATTTTGTTGCAATTTAGACAGGAGTTAGTGAGAGATTTTTAAACGGTCGGTCATGGTGGCGGGCAGTTAGAATTCGCCTCAGGAGTAAAGCTGGTGTTTGGTGATTTTTAAAAGAAGGTTTAATACAAAACAACACTTAAAACAATCCCACCCCCCACCCCACCCCCACCCCCAGGGTACGTACAAGTAAAGCGCTCAGGAAAACAGTGGGCGGTCCGCCGAGAATCGTTCTGGCGAGGAAGAGACCTGCTCTCATCTGCCGGGGGGGGGGGGGGGGGGGGGGGGGGGACGGGGACCTGGCCCGAGGGTAGATGGCGCCGCAGCCTTGCTCGCGGAGTCCGTTCTCCTTCCGAGATCGCCAGTACTGCTCCCCTGGCTTCCCTCCTGGGTCTCTTGGCGTCTGGACAGACACGTCTGCCGATACCGTGGCCCAATTCCAGGCGACCCCGGGTCCTCGCGCTGGGCAGGACGCGCAGCCCGGAACTCTGCAACCCCGGAGGCTCCCGGCACCGCGAAGCTGGGCGCTCGGTTGCGGGTTCCAGCGGAGCGGATCCGCAGGTTTCCCTGGAATGACGAGCTTCAGCCGGAAGGGGGCGCCCTTGTCTTTTTAATCGTCCAAACTCGCATTCGTAGCGAAATAAATCTCCAATCTCAAATCTTTTGTTCGTTTTGAAATTATTTCCAGAGAATAATAGAGGAACCCAGAAATGTCAAGTCCTTGATAGTGAAGCAGAGGAAGTCCAGAGTCTCCTTCAGGCCTTCTTACCTAGGCAACCCCTCTTGTGGCCTTTCCCCTCTGCACGTGGGGACCCCGCAGCATGGCGCTCCGGGTCATTTGTCCCACACCCTACCCCACACGCCTGTCTGCGCTGACGTCTCGCCATTTCTGGAGCAGCGGGAGAGGGGTTTGCACACACTATCCTGGAGAAACTGATACTAAAAGCTACTGGCTTGGGGCTTCACTTGAAGGGGGACCAGAGAGGCAGCAAGCAACCTCCTCTGAGCCCGGACTGTTACTTACCGAGGAGCTTAAATGGGACCACGGGGCTTGGATGGATTTTTTTTAATCACAAAATTGGCACACACCGCCCCCCAGTACGCACACTCTAAGAGACCCAGGAAGGGAGGGTGACTGCTCACCTGGGGGGGGGTGGGGGGGCCTTCCCTTAGCCCTGGTTGCTTTTTGGTAAACAGATTTAGAAGAGTCCGATTGGCTTCCCAACTCATTCCCTGGAGAGGAGCCAGGACTGGAATCCCACCCCACTGAAGGGTGGAAATACCCGGGTTTCTGGGCTGCAGCCTGCAGCCGTCTTCCTGAGGTTTCCGGGGGAACTACAAGCTGGGTCCGAGAGGGAACTGCCACGGCCCTCCACTGGCTGTTCATGCGTCTATGGGTGGCTTGGAAGTGGGTCGCACTGGGTCCTCTTCACTTCACTCCTGCGCGCTGGATTGTGGGAGTATCTACCTAGACCCCCCAGCCCGGGCTGCAGGAAGACCCAGCATGAACCTGCTGGCTTTGCCGCAGCCAAGACAGCAAGTTCCACCGGGCTGGGCGCTGTGCCTCCCTGCAGAACATCAGGGAGCTGGCACACAGGCGGAGAGTTCCTGGCTCCGGGAACAACCAGTCCGCCCCAGGTTTCTGGAATTCCACACTATGGGTCTCTGTCGGCATGGCCCAGGGGAAACAGAGTTGGCACCAACCCACCCGGAGGGTCGTCCACCCACCTGGGATTCAGGAAACATGGACCGAAAAGTGAAAAGAAAAGGAAGTCTGTGCCCACTGTCACCAAGGCCGCATGATGGCCCCACCATGAGCCTGGATCTTTGGGCTTCTGTCACCTTGCCACCCTCAGTTCTTGCATCCACAAAAGGGCCTAGTGCATCTCCCAGCTGACGGGCCCCCTAGCTTCTCTGGGTGTCATGAGGCAAGCAGAGGAGAGAGGGTGAGAAATGGGGCCATTTTCTGGGGTTTTCTCTCTTGCCCAGCTCTACTAACATGCTGGGGACATACTTGCCAGTGGGGTAGGATTCTACTCGTTGTGCCTGGAAGGGGCCGTGTTAGAAGACCAGACATCTGTTTCACACGGCTCCCAAATGTCCAATAAACCATGACCTGCTTAGGTCAGAACCACTAGGAACCTTAGGGGAAGACTAGGAAAGTTTGGGGGCAGAAATGAGAAATGGTGAATTATCCAGGCACTTGCCCAAACTCCATTTCTCTGGAAGAAGAAGACAGACCAGGGGTGAGGGGCAGCCTGCTGGCTTCATTTTCACACAAGGACCAGTAAGTACAACCTATGGGGTGGGCAGGGAGGGGGAGAGAGGCTCCCTCTAGCATTGTCCATCCTGCTGTCATCTTAGAAAAAAACGCTAAATAGCAATGTAGCCACAGGGGTGACCCTGCCTTATCTCCTCTTCCCCCTGCCGGCCCTGGGATGAGGGATGGGCTTTGGAAATGGAAGGGGATCCACAGGAAACTTCCCGGTCACCATCTCCTTCCAAGTTTATTCATGATCAGTTCATTCCATGAAAGTGGTTTCTGTAATGCTCCGCAGAGCTCTAGTAGAAAGTCTGAGACTAGTTATCGTGGCAACTAGTACTAGTTATGGTGAGTATCGCCACTGCCAGGGGGAATGCTAATGACTGGGGCAGGCCCTTTGGGTCGTGTCACTCTGGCAGATTAGGCTTTCACTTGGGCCTCAGTGGCTCACTGGGACATGTGGGGTACTCAGGTTGTCCCTGGGAAACAGCACAGGAGCCATGGCCTGAAAAAAGTGTCACCTCTGGGGACCCCTCAACAGAGTCCTGGGTCCCAGCCTGTCCTTGGCAGGTTCCTGGTCTCCCCAGATACCGCCCACCATCCCCCACCACCTCCCCAGCCAGGGAGCACCCTCACACAGTAGCGTTGGTCTTGACCTTGGCAAGGACCTTCTTCTCCTTGACCCTGCGATTCTGAAACCATATGGTGATCTGGCGCTCGGAGAGGCTGGTGGCCACCGAGATCTTGCGCCTCTTGTCCTTGGTGATGAACTTGTTAGCTGAATACTCTCGCTCCAGCTCCCGCAACTGCCCCTTGCTGTAGGGAATGCGCTTCTTGCGGCCTCGGTGGAAGGTGCAGCCTTCCGGAGGGTGCTGAGTGCTTGAGTCTGCCAGATGGGAGTGGGAGAGAGAGAAAGACACATTCAGATCCCCACCTACACACAGACCCGGGCCCCAGAAACTAAGGCACCCCGCAGGTCACCCTACAGGCTTGTGTGCACTTCCACTCCCCCAAAGTACCCAGGGACACCTGGGCTTCTGGCTGGTTCTCTGATCACCTCTCAGCCTTGGAGAGAGCAGGCTCCTATAAGCCACCCTCACCCATCCCTGCCCTCACACCAGCAAGTCGGCAGATACACCCATTACATACAGTCAGACCTTTGCCCACAGGTCACATACATCCACCCTCGCGCATTTGAGACTCTTGGCCACTCTTACAGATTCTACAGGCAAATTCTGTACAGAAGGAAACATGTTTCTGCTCCCACTCCAACACAACACACACACACACACACACACACACACACACACACACACACCAATGCACATACCTAAGTTATGACTGAGGGAAATCTAAATTTTCCTTTGGAAACTGAAAAGCTCATCAAAGAGAAAGTGAGAGGTTGTGTTCTTTACAGAATTTCCAATAACTGTTCCCACCCCGTCCCACCCCACACTCACTGAATTGAGAGTTACTTCGCCTTTTTGTGGAAGTACACTGGGATCTGCTGGGTAGGAACACCCTAATAAGCCCCATCCAACCACTGGGATATATTGAAAGGCTTGGGACAAGGCCTCTGGGGTTCTGTGAAGGGGCCTGTTGGCCTCTGGCTGCAGATGGTCCCCAGCTCCGGCCCCTCACACTGACCTGGGGGGACCTCCACCCAGGCTCTCAGACTACCTGGATCCTCCTTCAGAGTCCTAACAGCCCAAGAAGATCACCAAACTCCTCCTCTCCAGCCCCAGGTCTTCCTCCTCTTCTTCCCAGGCAAGTGCCAGCGGGGTCTGCAACCCCAGGCTTGGCGCCAAGTGGACCCAGCGGAGTGAGTGAGGTTACCTGCAAACGCCGTCTTCCAGAAGGACCCCGGTGGGTTCTGTTCTCCCTGGCAACACATCTGGCTGTTCCAGCCCCCGGGGAGGGCCCAGGGCTGGTAACTGTCCACGGGCAGCAGGGCGTCATGGCGCGGCTCCCCGGGGGCGCCCAGCGTCTGCACCACGGACACATCTAGGTAACTGGCCATAGGCTGGTAGGGCGCCGGGTACCCCGGGTAGAAGGCGAACTCGGCGTGGCGGCTGGGGTAGTCCTCGCCGGCCGCGGGAGGCTCCGCGGGGTAGGCGGCCAGCGTGGCGGCCTGGGCGCAGGGTTTCAGGGAGCCGCGCGCCAGGCGGCAGGAGTAGTACCCGCCTCCGAAGTAGCCGTAAGGCATCGGAGCCGGCGACGCGCCCTGGGGCGCCCCGGGACACGGGTGGCACTGCTTCGGGGGTTCCGAAGAGCCTGGCAGATCCAAGGGGGCATAGTTGACAGCGGGCATCAGCGTGGGCGCCGCGGGGTGGCTGGCCAGCGGGGAGTGGGCGAGCAGACTCCGGCCGCCTCCCGCCCCCAGCAAGCCCTCCACATCCTTGGCCCCGTCCAAGGCGGCATAATTGCCCGGCTCCATGGGGCCGAGGGTCGGCGCATGGGATGCTGAGAGCGGGGGATGCAGGGGGCCCCCAGCTCGCTCTCCCCACCCAGGCCCTGGGGATCCAAAGCGTTTTAAGCCGCTCCCCGCTCCCAGGGCGCCAGCTCGGGCTCGGCCGGGCCGCCCTGACGCACGAGACGCAGGTGCCCGGGCACTCGCGCTGATTGGCCGCCGTCAGGTGGAGAAGCTAATAAAATCTTCGTGGCAGAAATTGCGAAAATACTTTAACTCCCCCCTTGCCCTCTCCCTTCTCTCTCTCTCTCTCTCTCTCTCTCTCTCTCTCTCTCTCTCTCTCTCTCTCTCTCTCTCTCTCTCTCTCGTCTCTCTCTCTCTCAGCGTGAGAGAGACGACGGGTGTCCCTTCGCTGCTTTCCTGGGGGAGGGGAGAAGTGGGAGACGGAGGAAGAGCGGACAAGGAGCCCCCTCCTCCGCAGCTCCGTTACCGCCCTGGCTCTGTCTCCTGCGCTTTGGCCGGTTTAACGAGAGAATAAAGCTCTCCCTATAAAGGGCCTCTCTCGTGGGGGAAGGGGAGTCGGGGGTGGAGTCGGGAGGCCACTTGGCCTGCAAGGGGAACCTGGGAGTGCCTGCGCCTGGGCCAGCGGAAGCAAGCCACTGGGGATGAAAGGGTATTTCTGGGAGCCCTTTCCTCTGGGTCCTGGGTGCTAGCATCCCAGTTCACCCCAGATGCCCCTCCCATCCTGGGTGCACTATAAGCGGCTCCTGGTCCCCGGAAGTGCCTGGGACGCCCCTTCCCCAGAGACCCCAGCTAATGCCCCACACAGCTCGGCTGGCGTCTGGCTCCCTGGGTTGGGTTGGGCAGAGAAAGAGGAAGGAGGACAGAGCTCCAAAGAAAGCGATGAGAGACCTGGAGCCTGGGACACAGAAGGTTTAGACTTAAAGGGGAACCGGGGCTTCTAGACCAGGCCCGTGAGAGGGGCTCTGCATTTCCGTTCAAGGATGGAGAAAGAGGTAAGGAGAGAAGACGCACATGACGTGTATTCAGAGAGACGGGTAGAGGCAGAAACAGAAAGAGGAAACCAGGGGTAGCAGCACAGAGACAAGTTGAAGGAGGAGATGGGAGAGGATCTTATGAAATCCTGGAATACCAGTGGGAAAAGATAATTCCTTCTCCTTCTCTGAGAACTAAGGAATTTCCAGGAAGTCGGGGCTAGTTAACTAACTGGCCATGAACTAGTTGTGGGAGCTCTGGACCCCAAGAGCACAGGAGCCTGGCCTGTGAGCCTCTGCCTCTCTGCCCTCCTGCCTCTGGCACGCTTCCACTCAAGCTGACAGTCCAGAAAGTCCAGCACCTTCTGCTCCCTGCAGGCTCTAAATTTTCTTAGAAGGGGGGTGGGGGGTGGGGGAGGGCCCCTACCACTGGAGAAGTTGCTGGAGGCCCCCCTGATGGGGCCTACTGTGCCGTGTAATTCAAGAAACTAAAACTGCTTTGTTTCACAAATCTAAGGTTTTGTGTCTCTTCACTACCTCGCCCAAATCAAATCTGTCCAAGTCCACTTTTTCTAGAACCCCCAGTTTTTTTCTGGAGAAGACAGGAATGATTCCATTTTGCATAGGGGTCATGGCAATTATCTAGAACAGACCACCCCGAGCTCATGCCCACTCACCAACTTGAACCTGAACTTGAGCCATCTTTCCGGACTGGCCCCATGCAAACTGGAGTTGCAGGACTATAGGGGAAATTATAGATCACCTATAACAAATACTGCTGCCCTGGCCACGTAGCTCAGTTGGTTATCGTGTCGTCCTGATATGCCAAGATTGTGGGTTTGATCCCTGGTTAGGGCACATACAAGAAGCAACCGATGAATGCAAAAACAAGTGGGACAACAAACAGATCTCTCTCTCTCTCTCTCTCTCTCTCTCTTTCTCTATATTTTATTGCATTTGAAAACCACATGAGAGAAAATGGAGGTGTCTCTTCAACGGGTCTGGGTACTTTTGCTGTAGTATCTTTGCCTGTAGATATCTTTGCCCAAATATTTTTGCTGCAAACATTTTTACCATATAACTCATTGGCCATAAGGCAATTTTGCCCTTAAAAAAGATAAAATCACAAAAAAATAAATGAGGGATGTTAAAAAACAGACATAACAAAATTTTAAAAAAGTTTATTGAGAAATACAAAACACTTGTATATATTTCAAATGTGTGTAGGTTCATGGCAATCCTGTGCAAATAGCTGGTTTTAGTTTGCGGATTGTATCTAAGCCGTTGTCTTCATTGTATGGGAACTGTGGGTTCAACTTGGTGCCCTCAAAGACAACCCTCAGCCCCTTTTCTCCTCCCAATGTACAGGTATACCTCAGAGAGATTTTGGATTCGGTTCCAAACCACTGCAATAAAAAAAGTGTCACAAAAGTGAGTCACACGAATTTTTGGGTTTCCTAGTGCATCTAAGTTATGTTACATGGCTGTAGTCTAATAAGTGTGCAATAGCATGATGTCTTTTAAAAAGTACCCAGCTTAATTTAAAAATTCTATACTGCTAAAAAAATACCGACCATCACGTGAGCCTTCAGCAAGTTCAGTCTTTTTGCTGGTGGAAAGTCTTACCTTCAATTTGTAAAAAACACAGTATCTGCGAAGTACAATAAAGCAAAGAGCAATAAGATGCCTGTAGTGTGTTTCAAAATAAGAAGCCAACTCTTGGGGCAAATTGTTGTCCCCTGCAAGAAATAAATGCTAACTATGCTAAGACCACCATCATATCTACTCACCGTACTGACCTTTATGTGGGCTAGCTGAGATTTATATCTAATATAAAAAAGGAAGTAACTGTGAGAACTTTGTCAATGCAGAAATGAAACCAAACCAACAACTGGCTTAAGTACATTGTCTTCAACGCAGTTAACTGGTTTGTCAATGGAGAAATAGAACCAAGCCAAAAAAATCAAACTGTCAACCAGTTATTTTATTTTATCTTATTTTTTACAGCAAAACTGTAAAGACGCTTATGGTGAAAATACTGAGCACACTCTTTGACGCTTCCCGGTTTCTTATCATAGCTTCTAGCAAGCTTGTCTGACTCTGAAAGACAGAAATATCAGGATTTTTACCTAAAGACAACGTTTTTTCACTGCTTTTTACTTGGTAGATGACAGTACACGCATGAACAAATCTCTAAATTAAAAAAAAAAGTAATCATAGTCATTCCTGGACATATACCCAACAGAAAATGTCCCTGTCCATCACACGCCATGTACTGGAATGTCCAAAGCAGCTTTATTCATTATAGCTCAAAAATAGAAACAAAACTGAATGTCCATCAATAATCAATGGGTAAATAGATTGTGCTATAATTAAAAACGAGAGCACTACACAGCAATAAACAACTACTGCTACACACAAAACGAATAAATCACAAAGATATGTGGGTGAAAGAAGCCAGACACAGAAGATTAACTTTTGTCTGCCTATTTCTATGCAGTTCACGAACAGGCAAAATTAGGTTAGAAGAGAGTACGCTGGAGAGAGGGGCTCCTGGGTGGGAGGTGCCGTAAGGAAGCTTTCTGGGTGCGGCACACGTTCTCGTTCTCAGTCTGCACAGCAGTTACATGGGCGTGTTCACTGTGTGAAAATGCGAGCTGTACACTGGTTATCTCTGCACTTTGTAACAGTTTTATCTCTGTTTTGTAAGTACAAAAACGTAAAGATTCATAACAACATTCCTCGCCGCTGTGCTTCTTGGATTCATGGTTTTCTTCTTCATGTCTCCGAAAATAAGCAGCGAGGCTCACCTAGCTTGGCATGTTGTGGAACACCAGCCCACCGGCTGTCCAACAGATACACTTCCTACAAATAAAAATTACGGGGCTTGTTGGTTTTGGTTTTGTTTTTGCTCTACAATTTATTTAGCAACTACCAGGTCCCAGGGAGCCGTCTGAATGTCATATTTATTAACATGAGCATTGCTCCCGTTTCCTGTAAGGCATCCGTATAGGCAACTGTCTGGGACGTATCATAGACCTCAACCCGAGTCAGATAAAGTAGGATTCAGTCTCATCTGTAAAAAGTCCCAGTCCCCCCATGGGCACAATAATCCCTACCTCACAGGAACGCTGTGCAGATTAAATGGAGATTTTGCATATGAAAGCATTTTATGAATTAAATTAAGTATGAGTTATATTTGTGTTTCTGCATGTGTGTCTGTTTCTAATGAACTACAAGACACCTGTTTTTATTTTAAAATTAAAGGACAGTTGTCCTAAAATATACGGGTCACTTTGTACTTGCCTCGCTCGGCCCTGAATCAGCCTGAGGTTCCCACATAGAGAAACTGAGGTTCAGATCCCCTCCCCCTCACCCCCACCCCCACCCCCAAACCTCCTTAGGGCTCTACAGGAGGTTAAGGCCGAGGTCTCAGGATAACCCAGGCGTCTGACCGCCCAGCCAGCCCAGGCTGAGTCAGGCCTACCCCCGGCCCCACAGAATCCTTTGTGTCCTGCTGGGAGCCTCCAGGCGGACCCTCTCAGACCCTGGGCCGCCTCCTCCCCTTTCCCGACCCAACCAAACGCGCTGAAAGCCTCATCTGCTCCTTTACATACCGACCAGACACCTCCAGGAAGGTCAAGGCCAAGTTGAAAGTTAAGAGCCTGTTTATCACCGGGAGCCCATTCAGCGCGGCCCCACAGACCGCCTGTGACCTTTACTGCCGGGCCTTTGAGCGCGGCCGCCGCGCCCCGGGGGTTCTGGCCACGGGGACTTGGCACCTCGGTGTCAGCTCCCGCCCCAGCCCGGGCTCCGGCCCGCAGCCCAGCCGGAGGGAGGGGGCGAGAGGCGCCCACCCGCCCCGCTTGCGGCATTTGTTAAATTCTGTTTTCCTTTCCTTAAAGCAAAGATTGCACCCGGTGACTTCATTCCCCCACTTGGAACAGTGTGCGTGGTCGCGACCCCCGAGGCCCTCAGGTTGGTGCTGATCAATAATGAGAATTTATTTGCAGCGGCGCCGCTGCGTTTTCT